TGTCCGTCCGGCGTCCGTGCTCACATCGATTGCCATCCCATCTCTCTTCTTAAAAAAATAAAAAAATGTTTGCGCAGTCAACAGGATTTGAACCTGTGCGGGGAGACCCCAATGAATTTCTAGTCCATCGCCTTAACCACTCGGCCACGTCTGCGGGACGAGTAGGGGGCTCTGAGATGTGGTAGTAACTCAAGAGCTGGGGTTACTACCACATCACCAGCTAGAGCTGGGGCAGTAATAATGAAGTCGAAACGCAACCTGGAACTCAGAACTACCTATGAGCAATACAAAAAATCAGCACCATCAGCACTACCTATGAACAATAAAATCGGTATCATCAGCACCACCAGAGCTTCGCACCAAACAACATCATTCATCGCGTGGAGATATTGTGATTTTTCTTTCAACCCCTGCTTTGTTTTTTATGAATGTTAGTTTGTATGTGTCTGCGAATTTTCGCCATTTGTTTGTAGCAGTTGTCGGTTCTACGAATGAGGTTTGAACGTAGAGTGGCGTCTTCTCTCGGATGTAAATTGAAGCGGAACTTTGGAATTCTTTACGTTACAGCTTATCGATTGCAATGACGTCACATAGTCCCTCACAACTTAAGAAACGATGGGCGTGGCCTAGGATATTCACGTTTTTTGTTTCATAATTCCCTCTTCGGCGTTCTCATCCGTTAACAATAAGAAAATGCTCGACAATCACCGCGTACCGAGGTTTTCTTTTTTTAAGTTATTTTTGACTATTGTTTATAGAGAGTCAAGGCGCATTAATCTACAGCATCTAGAGGACAGTAAGAATGTTTATAAAAATGTGCAATTTCCTTCTTTGGCGCATTTTGTTTTATACATTTTATTGCACTCGATATATGCAGCCTAAACACGGCAGAAGAAATATGTTGTATGCTTAGATAGCGGAAGATTAGTCTGCCTTTGGGGATATATACAGCGACCCTGGGTCTCGCATCACTTAAACGGAAGCTGAACCGACATTTATTGCTCACAAAACAAGGCTGAATCAATAGGCGGGACGCTAAAAAGCACCAAAATAACCTCGCACATCGATATATCTAAATTCGGGGTCACGCTGTTCATGCATCATACAAAAGACAGTCTACAAACACGATTCACTGCAATATTTGTGGTTCAAATGCTTCGTTGCCAAATTTCTGCTTGAACTCATTGTCATGCGGCTTTCGAAGCGCAAATCCCGCGGTGATTCGCGTTCGAAACTGTAGGCAGACTGTCTGATGTATGATGTATAAGGAGCGCGACCCCGGCTTTACGGTTGGCCGTAATTTTGGAAGCAAAAGTGCGCGATTGAACACGGCAAACGAGGCCGGCAAGACACCTCACGTCACGATTCTCATTTCCTCTACTCTTCGCTTCGTCCCCTAAAGCAGGCGAACCGAAGCGAGGAGGAGAGAATCAAGGCCTCATTCTTAACCGTTCCAGGAGGATAGTGACGGCACGGTCCATGCTTGATCGCGCCCTTCTTTTCCAACAGTGCAGCCATCTGTGTGAGATTGCGATGTATAAGTGATGTTTTTTTTTTAATAATAATTGTTTATTGCTACCATCATAGAAAAGTTTGGTATTGCGGATGCATCAAAGCCAACACGTGGCTTGTGCGACGCCATCCTCCAATAAAAAAAAGAAAACGATATGTAGCATGGGTAGTTACTTAAAATACAATAATATAAAACAGACAAAAAAAATGTAAACATAATTCCATGAAGTTAGTCACTCTAGTTATAACTTGAAGATTTTACGCGAAAAGAGATTATGTACAGACTAAAACGGAAATCAATAGCAATGTCAGAGCAAAATGAAATACCACAAAACTGGAAAATATGCACACAAAAAAATCACGGAAGGTCTTCTGTTAAAATGTCCTACAAACAGCAGAATATTCATTAATGTTCCAGAAAGGCAGGCGCTTAATATTGGCACACATTACTTAGCAAAATGAGTCTGCGATAGTTCGCTACTAAAACGAAACCAATAGTTCGCTATTAAAACGAAATACCTCTAAGCATCTTTTTAACTTTGCCCAGGGATGTTTGGTTTAGAAGTTCAGGTGGTAAGTGAGAAAAAATATATGGCACATAAAACGCACGCGTACTTTCGCCATAACGAGTGCGGGAAAAAGGTATGTGAAAAGGGTGAGTATGTCGAAGATCACGTGTGGGTGGGCTTAAGATTTTGAAATCAGAATTCCAAAAGTGCCGCAATACCACTGAATGAACATAAAGGGTTTGGAAGTTAGGTAGTTGCAAATATTCGAAAAGATTAGCGGTGTCAGGTATTTTAAGTTTATAAGAGATACTTTTCAGGATAGCTTTCAGGATGCAGTCCACCTTGGTTTTCCAATAGTCAGAAGAATGGCCGAAAACGGTGATCGAGTAGCGAAGGACGCTATATGCAAGCGAATGGGCAATCATTCTTCGAACAGATACAGGAAAAAAATGTTTTGTATTATATAATAGGCAACTAATGCTTCTCAGTTTTCTACAGATGTATGTAAAATGAACATTCCATTTCAGACCACTGTCAAAATATATGCCTAGATACTTCACGCTATCTGTATACTCAACTGGAATGCAGTTGCATTGATGGCAGAAAGAAGAGTGCAGAACTAATGGAATGTTGAGAGTGACTGTTTTGTGTGGATTATAGAAGCATACTAGTTTTGTCTTTTTAACATTAATATCAAGAAGGTTTTTTTTGAACCAGTCCATAATTGCTATTGCTTGAGATTGTAACTGGCTGATGGAATTGGAATAGTTGATGTGTTGGGTCATAATTACAGTGTCGTCCGCGTATTGATATAGCTTACATCCCGGTACCATGGTGGCGATGTCATTGACAAAGATGTTAAACAAAAGAGGTGATAGAATAGACCCCTGTGGTACTCCGGCTTTTAGTTCAGTTCGAGAACTCTGAAATCCAGATGCACACACCAGTTGAGAGCGATGAGAAAGATAGTTTTTAAGAAGGGAAAAAAATGAACCACGAAAACCTATGCTGTACAGTTTCTTCAACAGTATCGTATGGCTCACTGTGTCGAAAGCTTTGGACACATCTAAGAATAGTGCGGAGGTAACAAGATTGTGATCGAATGCTGAGTATAGGGTATCTGCGAAATCTTCTAGAAGAGGCTGAGTGCCTTTTCCTTGCACAAAACCAAATTGAGTTGGAGATAAGATATTAAATTTTTCTAAAAAAGATATCATTATATTAAACACATGCTTTTCGAGGATCTGAGCGATGATGGGCAAGAGAGAAATCGGACGATAGTTTGCAATATTGTTTCTGGTACCACCTTTATACAAAGGACGTACTATAGATGTTTTAAGTTCATCGGGAAGTATCTTGGTTTCAATAAAACCATTTAGCATAAATAAAAGTACGTCTTTCAGAATGTCAATATTTCTGCGGAGGTCAGATAAGCGAATTCCGTCTATCCCAGGGGACTTGTTGTTCTTGAAACTAGACAAAATGGAATATAGATCAGCTTCATGAAAAGGCGGAAGGAACGCTGAAGAAGAGACTAGGTTATCAAATGCATCTAGGCTATCTCTCGCCTGACCAGAAAAAGTAGCAAAAAAAACGTTAAAATCCTCTACAATCGATTGCAAATTATCTCCAAAATGTCGTTCCAGCGTATCATCAATGGAGTGTCTTTGGTGTCCACGGAGTTCATTTATCAAAGACCAAGTTTTACGGGCATCCGAATGAGATTGGGAGAATTTTCTGTGATAAGAAATGCGCTTAGCTGATCGAATCATCGCGTTTACTTTGTTACGGCAGGATTTAAAGAGTATTCGTAGGTGTGCATCATTGGGTGAACGACGGCAGCGAGCCCATAGTGCATTTTTTTCCCGTATCGCATCTAAAATATTTGCATTCAGCCATACAAGATCAGGGTTGCGTTTCTTTACGAATATTTCTCTCCGGCATCTTTCATAGAACTGTTTGAAAACCAGCACAAACTTTGGATAAACGTCGGTGTAGTTAACGGTCCTCAAAAAGTGGTTCCAGTCAAAAGCTGAGACCAATTTATCAAAGGCCGTGGTGTCGATACCTGTAACATTAATGCGGCCTGATGTTTCGCGCGATTTAAGAACGCCGATCGACCAGCGGCAGGCCACAAAGTAGTGGTCGGCAAGTTTTTCCTTAATAACTGCTGATTTCACGATAGTCGAAGATGTTCTTAGGTTAATGTGGTCAATGCATGAGGAGACAAGTCTCCCTAAAAGGAACTCTTCACGTGTTGGACAATTAATAACGGACTCAATACCGTGAGTTGCCAAAGTGTTGAGGTAATTGCATACATTAGATTTAGACCCATTCAAGATATCAATATTAAAGTCTCCTATAATGCATAATTGACCATACGAACTCAGATCACTAATGTTTTCTTCGAGTTCTACGAGAAAAGACCCTACATTTGTGGACGGTGGTCTATACATTGCGAGCAAACATATGGAATTGATCGAATTCTCCACAGAAAGGGCAATGAACTCGGCCTGAGCGAACGTCAACGAAATATTTGAAAATGACCATTTATCACTCACGAAAACTGTGATACCACCACCATGACCCATATCTCGAGTGTAAAAAGTACCACGATAACCCGGTAAAGAGAACTGATCTGTTGCAAAAGAGGGGATGTTAATTTCTGTTAAGACAAATACATCTACTGAAGAAGCAATTGCTCTTGAGGTAACTTCGAATTCTGCCCAATGTTTACGTATGCTCCGAATATTAACGTGTACTACAGAAAAGAACGTTTCCTCACAATTTCCAAAAAAATTTCGAAGAGATGAAAAGTTTGAAACCTGAGCGAAATCTGCCATACATCTAAAGAATCTTTTCAAGGTCTAGCGAACTGTTAATTCTCACAGGTGGAGAACCCACCGCCTTCTTTGCGTAGATTTTAGCTCTGGTTACCCAGACGAACTTATAGCCCTGTTCCTTGCCCTTCTGTCTTGCCCGCCAAAACAGCTCCTTGTTCGCGTGGGTCAGGTTGTCATTTAAGTACAGTCTGGGAAGAGAACTATCCTGACCCAGCGAACGAAGTGTACCCCGCGCTGCCATCCAGGATTCCTTCATGTGGACAGACGCGAATTTGATCAGAATCGGTGGGTTTTTTGCATATTTGGCTGGCAAGCGGTGAAGAGCAAGAATGTCGGATTTCTGAAAGTTTGAGATCTTCAGTTTTTTTGATAGAGTCTCAGCAAACGACATAAGATCTTCGTGAGGTGAGACAGGAAGTCCGTGCACTTCCAGGTTTGGCAGACGGCTGTGCTGCTCGTTGTCGTTTAGGGCGACCCGCATCTCTTGGATCTCGGATGCCTGCGCCTCCACGATTGACTTTAAATGAGAAAGCTCCGTTTGCAGGGCTTTGCCATTCTGTTCGTTGGTGGTCGCCAACTTGAGGAGGCGGTCATAGTCGGCCGAAAAGAAATCCATTGAGTGTTGCAGGCCGTTCACAGTCTCCCTTACACTCTCGACAATGGGCTTGAGGGCTAAAAGTTCGTTTAGTTTGGCCGACAGTGTCATAAGGGAATCGACGCTGCCCTTCAATGACAGTAATCCTTCCAGTTTCTCATTCATAGCTGTTAGTTGTGAAGAGAGCAGTCCTATTCCTTCAGAGGAGCTTGACAACTTCGGCTCAGATGCTCCCACCTGACCATCCTTCCCACGACACGCACGGCACTTCCATTTTTCTCGTTTCGTTTGTCCCATGGTGATGAAGGTCTTATCAGCAATCCCGGAGCAAGATTGTCCCAGATGGTAATTGGACTTGCAATCCGAACACGACATGTGCCTACCATCGTTGCTTATAGACTTGTTACATGTCGTGCACTCTATCATGTGGATCGTTGGGGAATCCATATGCATAAGGGAATTCGCTGAAGTGTGTGAAACGTAGTCGGGAGGTCGAGGCACTCCTCTAAGTATCGACGCGAGCCACTTGGGCAGGTAACTGGTCAGGATGGTGAGTAACTGCGCTACGATTGAACGACTGGCCGGCAGTACTGGGTTCCAGCGATTACGCTGTCAGACACGCAGGGCTAGGTCGAGCTGATTCGTGCAACTGCAGAAGAAAGCCGCCGCTCACCATGGTACTGGAGCAGCCGTAGTTGCTGAGAGGCCTTCTAGAGCTCCGTTGCAGCTGCCCAGCTTGAAGGATTCTTCAAGCGCTGACCAACGTTCTGTTGAGCCCGGCTGTTTTGAGGCTGGCGTAGATGAAAATCTTTCGTCGAAGCCACCATCCAACTGACAAATTATGGCCGTGGATAAGGAATTTCAGTGTAAAATGCACAGACTGATGGAACGGTATGTCTGGCCTGTGACTTCTTCTTCTTCTGAAGGCAAGTAAAAGCTTCTGCATCCTTATTTTGCGAAATTCAAATTTTGATTCAGCGTGCATTTAAATAGATTTAGTTAGTGTTGCCTTATTGCTGGCCTGGTGTCTGAAGTCCGGTTCAGACACTTGCGTTTGAGTGCTTTTGACAGCGTTGCGTCGAGACCCGAAAGCGAGTCACCGGCACATCTGTGCTTCGTATGAAGCGTGGAATCCAATTCAAGGAATCGTCTTGGCACGCGAGATAAGCAGCAGGGCTGTCCTGGGCCGGCTTGCTAGAAGAAGTGTCTCAGTTGAGACTGCTCAAAGAAAGCGCTGCCAAGGCTCGGGCGCGCTAGCGTCTGAGACTCGACTCAAGCTCGAGCGCTAGCCTTGACAGCGCTTTCTTTGAGCAGTCTCAACTGAGACTCTGCTTCGAGCAAGCCGGACCTGGTTTCTCGCTGCCGCAACGCAGTCAAACGCTACTGTCTGAACCAGTCTGAATTTCCAGCACGCAGTTGCCTCTGCACGACCGCACGCTGATACGATGCGCATTCATTTCTTTAAACGAAGGGGACGGAGTTTGAATTCCCACGAATAAAGACGGCAATGGCAGGTTTTCACGCTTCCCCAATACAAAAAGATTACACCCAAAATGTATCGTATGAGTTCGGAACGTATTTTCGCGGCCCGCATGATCTGAAACGCGCAGCTCTCCGTAACGCGCGCTATTTTCAGATCCACTTGTCGTAGTTTACTGCAAACTTTGATGCAGGCTGAGGCAGAAAACTCCCCTCCCGCGCTCGGGGCGCCCTACTGCACTTTTGTAATGTTTGCTATACTTCGGTTCAGCTTCGGTTCGAGCGCGGCCGATGTTATGAGCCAAAGTGCCAATCAAACAGCGCAAAAAGCGCACCGTCATGGCGTGCTCTCTGCGCTTGATAGGACTAGCCGGCGGAAGAGCGCGCACAGAGAGACGGCGAATAGCGGCTGGTCCTATCAACTGCAGAGAGCACGCCATGACGTTGTGCCTCTTTCGCTAATTGATTGGCCCTTCGGCTCATAACATTGGCCTCGCTCGGACCGAAGCTGAAACAAAGTATAGTGAAGCAGTAGAGGCGATACCTCTTTGTTTAATGGACCCGTAAAACCCATGCATGATACAACATATATCCGTTGCGAACTTTCTATAATCAATTTTTTTGCAGCGTCCAGACTGATGATCTCGCAATAATCAGTCAACATTTAATTTTCTCAATCACATATGTATCTTGTATTTCACAGAGAAATGTTCTAAAAACTCCGGAGTGCCATTAAAAGTGAGTCAGGCATCTGAATTAAAAAAATATATATTAGAAAATGGCACTCACATAGAGAAGGTCGTCAGCCACTGTGAATGGCATTATTCATGGCTAGAGGGAAGGGTACCGACCTGGAAATTCACCACACAAAAGGCGTTCTCGAGTGAGACGAGGAGTACCTCTGGCACTTCGCAACTGTGTTGATGAACACTTTTCGATTTGAGCGGCAGCTTTAAGGATACCCTGTGATCCAGGTGTTCATCCGGACAGTCCTGCCGCAGTTGAGCAGACGACAAGGAAGTGCAAAGTGGCGCAGTGAGAGCCAGAGGGGAGCTGTTTTGAACTCAGCGTCCATCAGTTTGCGGAAAAATGCGATTGGCGGTTCTGATAGTACCGCGCGCCATACAGAGCGGCGTTTCAGCTCATATTGGCCGCGATAGTGCATGCGCATATTCCATAACACTAGTTGCTCTCATTACAGAATCTTATGTAGCGTTGGCGAGGCATGTAGGCGAACACCACTAGCTCTCCTGAAGGGCCGCGTATGTGAATATTTCAAATGAGATGCTGCCACGTAACGAGTGGTTCTTAAAGTGAAAGACTAAGTTCTCATCTCGGGCAGTTTTACGCTATAGGCTTAGCTGGACAGCAGTGCATTTGTGCTGAGTACGAAGTGGCTCTCTCAAGCTAAGAGCAAAGCCAAAAAGATGTATCTTCTAAGCCGCCAGTAACAGTCTCACCTAGTGTTCTTACCATAACGGTTCATACGAAGCATAATAGACCAATCTTCCCAGCCAGCTTGACTACGCCAGCGCTGCCGTAATGCATCGAGGGAACTTCAGTCTTTCTTAACGTGCGACCACCTCGCTAATGCTCTACGCGTACAGAGCACGAGACGGCACGAGACCTCCCGCGCGCCGCCGTCTGCCTCTTAGGAACTTAAGTTAAGGCGGAGGCGCGAATGCGCCGAACGCTTAGTGAGATCCGTCTATTGTTTGGGGAACGTGCTAAGCAGCGCACCTAAAAATTCAGCAAATGCAAAATATAAAGCGTTTGGTTTCTGTAGTCACTGAGATCTTAGGAAACGCAGGGGCATCGTCGCTTTGAATCAAATCAGCTTGCGGCATTTGCCGATAAGAACGCCCAAGAACCATTCACGAAACAAGTAGCGTGAACGTAATAAGCCAGGTCCCCTGTCTTTTAAGCCGCCAGTGATTGATTATAGCCTGGCTGATTCAGGCGTGCCTGAGAGTTTCGTGCTTTTCTCTAATTACTTCCGAACGGCGCCCGCTGAAAAGCGCAGAGAGCGGACGTGTTTTGCAGGTAAAGGTTTTCCAGAGAACGTTGTAATAAGGCGCCATTGCTTACTCAGGATGTTCTCAGACTGGAAGCCTATGCCTAGACCAATCAAAAATGAATACGAATATTGTGAATTCAGATTATATTACATTTATATTACGTAGTTTCTAAATGTGTATTTTCATTGCCAAGTTTAAAGTGGTATGGCGTAGAAACCAAGCCAGCCTTCACCCTTCTGAGAATTGTTCCTTATTCTATCGCTCGACGCTACATTCCAATATGCTTTCCGGTTATAATAAGGTGATCTTAACTGGCAGAACCTTGAAGTCCAAAGAACACCTGTGAGTTCACTTTCCTGCAGAACGCGAGACAACCAATCACGGTCAAAATTAGGATACCAGCAAATGACCAAGCTCGCAATAGGATTAGACGAGAACATTTATGATGTGCGAGGGGGGATTGAGAATGGCGTTTAACTTGCTCATCATCCTTGTGCACATCGCACGCCTCGGGTCTAATTGTAGCGTTGTCCTCGTTCGCTGGGATTCTTTTGTCGTTCTCCGTGATTGGCTATTCTCAAGTTCTGCAGGAAAGCGAACTCTCAAACCTTCTTTTAGAGTGCAGCACCCTGAAGCTCTTACAGCGGGAATCTTGCGGGAACCCGCCCGCAGTTTACAGAAATAGACCAACGACTCAGCAGGCGCAGACGCCGTCCTGCTCAAAAAAAAAAAAAAAAGAAACAGAATGCGCCGAACTTTGAGAAGCGCGTTTACGAGATCGGATCCTTAGCACAGCTCGTTTTACCCGGAGCCAGATGTTACCTGCGCCAACAGATTGGCTGATCTCTTCGCTTAAGCCTCGAAGGTTGGCGCCAATGTGCTCTCCATGCATAGAAATAAATACGCAAGTGTTTTACGCAAAGAGGTGCGTCACTAAATCCTATCAATATTGCTTTAGCTCATTTACGACGGCATTGATGTTGATGAGGGAACTCTGACTTCGCCCTTTGGACATGTCCTGCAAATAAAGTGCAGCCAGAGCCTATTCCACAGCGCACTTCACAGTACTGAGTCAATTTATTTATTTAATTATTCAGGTTACCCTGCAGCACCTAAAAGGAATTGTGTTGAGAAGGGGATGCTTGTATATCTTTATAAAGCTACAAATGTAGGGCGATTCGGAAGGAGCCCGTACAAGCTTTCGTTACAATATATAAGGAGAAAACCTGTAAGCATAAAAAAAGCGTAACTTCAAACCTCAATACTCAGCACAGAATATTGGAAAACCATGCCATAGAGGCAGTGGCGTATACAGCGAGGAAGGGGGGGGGGGGGGGGGGGCGAGGGGTGATCTCTGCTTAGACGAACCCATCAAAACAGATGAACTACGGAAGGACCCAGCAGACGCTCAGCCCTATCTTTCGTACTGATAGATAATAATCCAACCTTTATCAGTTTTCTTTTTTCATGTGACGTTTTTTATGTTTATTATCGCTGAGCCTCGTCCTTCTGTGGCTCATTGTTAGAAAGTAAAAAAGTTCTATTTTAAAGGAAAAGACAAATGCAGCATTAAACAATTTACACAAAATGAAGTCTCAACCGGGAGCAAAATGCCTCATCTCTCTGAACGTTCTGCGCCGCCGCCGTCAAGTTAGCTCAGTGGTTTAT